TGGAAGGCAAAGCACCAAGCAGGGGGCACAGGCCATGAACGGTGTTCCCTCCCTTCCATCCCTCCCTCTGGGTCCCTGTGCACTGGCACAGTTATGTCAGGATCCATGCAGAACTAACCGAGAACCTGATTGTCAGCAGGGGAGCACTTCAGAAATTTAGGGAGTTTAACTCTGATGAATGAATAAAAGTAAAGCAATTTTATCATTTGTTTAAAATGTTATCGGGCTGGGGATTTAGCTCAGTGGCACTGTGCCTGCCTCGCAAGTGCAAGGTCTTGAGTTCGATCCCTGGTACCGGAAAAAAAAAAACATTTTGTCAAAAACTTATCATCACCAGTTAAAAATTAGAAAGCAAATAAAACAAAAATGAACACATTTATCATCAGGCAGATGAGACTCACGACACTGCGTGGCACTGATCAGACACGTCCTCTCACAGTGCAGCTTGACTGTCTTGAAGACAACCTCAATTTCATTTTTAAATCGGCAGAGGCAGCAGACCAGATGGCTCGGTAAGATCCTGTAGGCAGAAACACGGAGAGCTGAGTTCCTAGGCAGGTCAAGGTCCTCACGGGGTTGAAAGGAGTTTGAGGCGAGGTCTGAGCAGCTGGGTAGGAACCCAAGAGCAATCGCTGCTTTGGAATATTGCTAGCACACAGGAAGGAGGAGGGAGGCACCCCCAGAAGGGTAAGCACAGCAGTGCATGTGGCAGGCCTACAACAAAGGCAGCAGAGATGAGCACTGACGGGTGACAGTAATCTGTAGTTTTGTTCAGAAGCGTCTCCCTTCAACTCCAGAGTGTCGCTCTGGGCTGGGAGTGCACAGGAAGAAGGCCGACTTCTAAGAAGAGTCTGAATCAGCCTCCAATGTCTGGAGTCCCTTTCCCAATTCCTGTTAGGAGTGGTAAATGTTACGCCTTACTCTGGGCAAAAAAACCAGTTCATTCCTACCACATCGTGTGGTTAACACAGATCCCACTGGCCACATGTAGGCCACTGGAGCAAAGGGATGAGGAGGACTGCGTGGGGGCGGCAGAGAGCTCGCCTAGCGTGCTCAAGGCCTGGGTTTGATCCCTAGTGTCACAGAATACAGAAAGGGAAGGAGGGAGGGAGGGAGGAGCGACAGCACAATGTGAAGAGGAGTCCACGAATTCACAACGACCCTCTGGAAGGGAGGGCGTCTAGCTGACACCGGAGGGAAGGGAGCAGACGCTGCAGGAAGTTCAGGAAGATGAGCCTTTAGCAGAAAGCAAGGGGTGTACAGCGTGGGCCAGTTAAGTCGAGGAGGGACCTGGTGAAAACAAGTGGAGCAGAGTGCTACGTGAAGGGTCTTCTGCAACCCCTCAACTACTTTACCGCACCAGCAAGTTTCTAGTTAGCCTGCCATGGAGGAGGGTGGCACAATTCAAGTTGCAGCCAATGGTATAAAAGCCACTGCAGCTGGGCATGGTGGCACATGCCTGTAATCTTAGCACTTGGGAGGCTGAGGCAGGAGGATCACTGTGAGTTCGAGGACAGCCTGGGTTACACAGTGAGTTTCAAGGCCGGTATGAACTACACAGCGAGACCCTGTCTCAAAATAAAAAACAAAACCTTCATGACAGGGCATTACAGAAAAAAATTTTAAACTCTACAATAGAAAAATAAAATACCTCATACTATACATGAAAGTTAACTCACAATAGATGACAGTCCTAACTGTAATCCCAACACTCAGAAGCTGAGGCAGGAGGATTATAAATTTGAGCCTAGGCGTCTGGGAAAATCAGCCACTTAGTGAGATCTTGTCTCAAAACTAAACAATAAAAAAGTGCTGGGGATGGAACTCAGTGCAAAGCGCCAGGGTTTAATCCCCAGTACCACCAAAACATTAAAACTTAAAAATAAATCATGGACTTAAATGTAACCATACAGTTATACAGTAAAATTCTGGAAGCAATCAAAACAGAAAATCTTACAAGTGTGAATTAAACAGTGAGTTCTTAAGAAAGACATTTCTGGGCCAGGGATTTAGCTCATGGCGAGTACAAGGTCCTGAGTACCAGTACCAATAAGTAAATAAACAAATCAAATAAAAATTTTAAAAAGAGAAATTTCTTAGGTAAGATATAAGAAAGCACAAATCATACGAGAAAAGTTTTGCTAAATTGCATTTCATCAAAATTTTTAAAATTTAAAACTTCTGTTTTTCGATTCTTCTGATCTGGCACTCTGGGAAACTGAGGTAGGAAGTTCACAAATCCAAGCCCAGTCTGGATAACTAAACTACTTGGTGAGACCTTGTTTCAAAATAATTTTAAAAAGTAGAGAGAGAGAATGTGTATGTGTGTGGGGTCCTTAGCTCAGTAAGAAAGCCCTAGTACTTAAAAAAAAAAGATATCTGCACATATAAAAAATACTCAATATCATTAGCTGGTAAAGAAATGCACACTTAAATCACAGTGCATACAATACACTGTAGTAAAAAGGCTGCGGTTTTTTAAAAACTGAAATATAAAGATCAAGTAAAGAAGACATGGTAACTCTTTTCTTTGTTTTTAATTGGTGGTACTGGGGATTAAACCCAGGGCATTCACACTGAGCTACATCTCCAGCCCCTCTTTGGTGTCCTGCCTTTTAAATTTATTTATTCCTTTTTATTTTGAGACAGGGTCACACTATTTCAGAAAGATACCTAGGCAAAGTTCAAACCTGCCATCCTCCTGCCTCAGCCTCCCAGAGTGCCAGCATTACAGGCATACACCACCACGCCCAGCTGCGATAGCCACTCCTGCTTCCCTGCGGATGGATGGGATATACCAGTGGTTATGCTATGTGAATAAAAGCACAACACAAAAGGCTACGCACTACATGATCTCATTTATAAGACCTTCTGGGAAAATGAAGAACCATAGGGGCAGAAATCAGATCAGCGGATTCCAGGAGCTGGAGGTGAGAAGAGTGAACTGACTGCAAAAGACGATAGCTATCTCTTGAAGGGGACTCAAATGTTTTACAGCAGGAATAGGGTGGTGGTTACATAACTATACAAACTCCTCGGCCTACTTCCAGCTTGTGAATTTTATTACATGGACATCATACATCAATACCCCTGACTTAAGAAAACAGTAAAACAAACCTAACAACAACAAATCTAAGTCAAAGAAATCTAAGAAAAAACTCACTTACAGTGTTTCTAATTCCAGAGCCCATGTGAGGATGTTCTCAAGTGCTGTCAATGACACGTGAGTTTGTCCCAAGTCTCTGGAGAAGAAAGCCCAGACAAATGAGGACCCCAACACAAGTATTCTGTACTTAAGCAGGTATTTCAAGGACATGCCTTTATTTCAATTTTGCCTTCTACTAAAACAAGCCAACACATGAGCTTATCATAAAATATAATCCCAGAGAGCTCTTCATGAAGAAATTCAAATTTAGTCTTTTCATCGCCAAATTAATGACCTTGGCATTGCAGAGTAGACGCTACATCTCTTTTTCATCATCATCTTCCTTCGCCTTTTTATACTGCATTCACTTCCCTCGCTTTCTATTTTTTATTTTTAATAACAATTCCACTATGCTCTCTGGGGTAAATGATGTTCCTACATCCGTGTACGTGTCCCACATCTACTGTGTTCCTCGACGCTGCTCTGTCCCAAGTCTTTTGCTCATCATACATCTTAGTCCTTTTCTTGGCCAAGAACCCGATTAAAATTAAAATTATGACTTTCAGAATCAAAGTACAATACTTAACCACTGATGGAAGGAGGCAAGAAGAGCAGAAGTCATATTATGGGATACAGAATTAATTGTAATACTTACAGATATTTTAATGCTGGTAATTTCAAAAGAGATGAATCTTCGATAGTTGTCAGAGGATTATGATTAAGAATTCTGAAAAATGCAATGGAATTAAAATTATCTGTATTTTCAATATGCATGAGGTTACATGAAAAGTTTATATTCTTTTTTTGGTATGGAACTTATACGTTAAAAATCATTTTCTGTGATTACCTATGAATAAAACTTAGAATATTTCATAAAGCACTCTTCTTCTGGGGATGATGTAGGTCTCTAATAGATAAAGTGGAGGGCCGGGGATTTAGCTCAGTGGTTCGGCCTCCTGCCTCGCAAGCTTAAGGACCTGAGTTCGATCCCTGGTACGGGGCGAAAAAAACAAGAGGAAAAGAGAAAAAAGTAGATAGAAAAGAAAAATAGGCGAAAGAACAAAAACCCTACAAGTGACTGCACTGGTAGGAAGCTGTGTTCACCCTGTGGGAAATTCTGTCTTTAGTATCCTTCATAATTGAAGGTGCTTGCGTTTCATCTTTATAAATTTCAAACATTCATGGTCTAATTCACTTATTTAAGAAAATAATGAGCTGGGTGTGGTGGTGCATGTCTGTAATCCCAGCACTGGGGAGGCTGAGGCAGGACAATCGCCTGAGTTTCAGGCCACTCTGGGATATACGGCGAGTTCAAGACCAGCCTGAAGTACATGGCGAGACCCTGTCTCAAAAAAAGTAAAGAAAAATTGGAACCAGTTCCTTGGTTTTAAGCCAAAGAAAAAGAAAACTCTAAGAGGTGGGTCTTAGTAACTTTCCTCCTGCCTGAGACCCAATACCTCACACACCTGCAAGTTCAAGGTGGAAGGATTTATTTTGCCTCACCTTTTAGTCCATAGGTCCAAGGCAGGAAGACACAGGGAAAGGGCCTGGGTGAAGGAGAGAAGCTCATGGCAAAGCAAACAGGAAGCAGAGAGAATAGAGCGAGGAGGAGGGAGGAAGATAAACCCTTCCGGGCCACGCCCCAGTGGCCCGCCTCTTCCAACCAGGCCCCACCTCAGCTATAATCCCTCTATCATCCAATCACCTCCCCAAAGCCCCACCGACGACTGAAGGAGGCTTTCCTGGGACATCTAGAAAGAAACTATAACAAGGAGGAAGCACTTAAAACCATTTCCTAGTTCATCCGAATTTTTGTATCATGTCTATTTCTGGTAAAGTGTCTGAAATTCTCTGTTTTTCATAAATATTTGAAGAACAAATAAAGAATATTCTCTTTTTGTATCAACACAATGAATAAATTCTCTCTTTTGTCTCTCACTGGGCATAGTCTTGCCTAGATTAGCCTGCCTCAAACTTCTGAGGTCCAGTGATCATCCTATCACAGCCTTCTGTGTGTCTGAGACTAAAAGCACAGGGATCGAACCCAGGGCCTTTGCACTGAGCTACATCCCCAGCTGCCTTTATTTTTTTTATCTTGAAACAAGGTCTCCTCAGTTGCTAACTTGCCCAGGTTGGGCTTGAACTTGTGATCTTCCTGCCTCACCCTGGCAGGGTGCTAAGATCATAGGCACACGCCACTACGTGCAGATAGATGCAAACTTTTACATCAAAATACTGGAATATGTTTTCTATTCAGTTCTTTAGAGCAAGCTAACAAGAACAAGAACAACAGAAAGAAGCAGGAAGAAAAAAAAATCTATCTTTATGTTACTCTACTTGAACTGGTAGTGTACTTCTACAGAATATTTTAAGAATAGTAGTTACTACAGCTTCTATCTATCAGCTGCCAGGCATTCTTTGTTCAGCATTTCACACAGAACCCTCACAATAACCTTAAGTGGTAGATATTATCATTGTCCCATTTTAAAAATGAGGAAACTAGGTGTAGAGAGGTGATCTAACTTGTCCTGAGTTACCAAGCTAGTAAGATGTCAAGCTGCAATCTGACCTCGGTTCTGCTCCTAAAGTTTATGTTTAATCTGTGTGAAGAAAAGCGGTTGAAAACAGCCATTACTTGAACCTTACTTTTGAGAGGATAGATATAAAAACACCTTTTTAAACATTTGGGGTTTTGGTTGGTCTGTTTTGTACCATGAATCAAACTCAGGACCTAGTGCTTGTCAGGCAGGTGCAGCACCGCTGAGCTAAATCTCTGGCCCAACATTTGCTGATTTGAGAAAGTCTCTATGAGAATTACAGTTTGCCTTATAACTCCTTTCCCCTAGGCTCTCCCCAAGATTAAACATTTAATTAGCTCAAGGTTGTGGAAGCTTTACAGATTAAAATCAAGTTGTACGTGACCGGTGAAAATGGTGGAGTAAGGATATTTGGAAATTCATCCCTCCATAGAAGTAACAACAATAAAAATGGTCTGAATCAGCCTTTCCAGAACTTTAGCAATTTCACCAAAGGCACACAGCAACCTAAGAAGGATTTACTCAAGGAAAAACAGTTGAATTTTTGTAGGAACAGTGACATCTGTGATGTTTTAACTGGGTCCAGACCTAGACCATTCCTCACTGCAGCCCATGGCTCCCTAGAAGAAGAGCCTCATCCCCAGGATGAGAAGGAGCAAAATGGAGCCAGTGCCCTTTGTCCTAGAAGGTTGGTCCTTCCTTGGAAGACCTCACTTGAAAGGCTTATCTTTAGTGACCTGACTGAGAGCTGCCTCCTGCTAAAACCTGTATTCCCAGCACTTGGGAGGCTGAGGCAGGAGGATCGCTGTGAGTTCAAGGCCAGCGTGGGCTACGCTACGTATTGAGTTCAAGGCCAACGGAATTACAGCGAGACTCTGTCTCAAACAAAAAAGCAAACAAACAAAAGGTTCAGTCCATTAAGAACATAGAAACAGGGCCATGATTTAGCTCAGTGGTACCACATCAGCCTTGCAAACACAAGATCATGAGTTCGATCCCAGGTACGCAAACAAAACAAAACAAAAACAAACAAAAGAACATAGAAACCATTGTACTAAAATATATAGGTACATGCATCTAACAGTAGAGTCCTAAAATATATGAAACAAAATTTAATATAATTGGAGAAATGGACAACTACAGTAGTAGCTGGATACTTCAACATGCCGTGTTCTCTGCCAGGAGGACTAGATAGAAGACTAGAAAGTAAACAGAAAACTTGAAGAACTAACTACAAGCCAACCAAACCAAACATTCACATAGAGATGGTCGGGGATTTAGCTGTGCCGCCTGCTAAAACTAATCGTGATACTATGATACCAACATTGCAACATACAGCTAGTAAAATTCAAAGACTAAGACGTACCCCAACCTTAACCCGAACCCTAAACCTACCCTAACCCTAACCTAGCTACCTGCAATCCCACACCACTGCTACACATAATCCCGCAATTTACGCTAACATGAAACATTCAACCTACACTCCAGGACACTGGAAGTGAAACTCTGACACTATTTCTAACGCTAGGCCTAAGCCTAAACCTAAAACTAACACTGAAGCTAGCACTACCCATCAGGAAAGCACTGCAACCCTCATGTCCTTGGAACCCCACAGTATACGGCAGGCTCATAAAAATCCTTGCCCTAAGCTTCATTTGCTAACTCAAATTGTCAGGCACTTGAATTCCATCCCTATTCCTTTCACCAGGCCTAACCCTAACCCTGACCCTAAACACAATTCACCAGTTCCAATACAGCGGATCGTGAAATCCCATGCTTTTCCTAACGCTCAGGCCAAATCTAATGCTGACACTAACTATGAAACCCACACTCCAGTACCCAGGTACAGAAATTCTAAGACTCACTCACCCCGACCCTAACCTTAAGCCTAAAATTACCATCAACCCTAACTCAGGTGCTCACAATCCTAAAGCATTCCTAAACCTAATCCTAAAAGTAACACTAACACTCAACCCTTACTCCTCTACATAGGTAGTGAAACTCTGACTCTATGCCTAACCCTAAGCCGAATCCTAACCCTAACCTGAAGCCAAACTCTACACATCCTAGCTCACTGCAACCCTCAGGTACTTGGACTCCCACACTCTACCACACCCTCGTAAAAATCCTGGCCCTAACCTGCAATCTCACACTGAAATTATCATGTAATTGAGTTCCAGCCATGTTCCAGACACCAACCTCACCCTAATCTTTACCCTAAGCTTTACTCCCAAGTTTGCAAATAGCGGTACTGTAAAACCTACCCTATGCCTCAAGCTAAGGCCAAAGCAAATGCTGATATTAACGATCAGACCCACACTCCAATATACAAGTACTGAAATCTGTACACTATCACTGACCCCAACCCTAGGCCTCCCATGAACCCTAACTCCCAGGTACTTACACTCCTAAATCAATCCTGACCTGAACCCTAAAACTGATACTGAAACCAACCATTTAACCCAAACTCCAGCGCACAGGTAGTGAAATTCCCACTCTATTCCTAACCCTCCACCAAAGCCTAACCCTATATTCAACCCAAGCACTACCCATTATATCTACACTGCCATGCTCAGGTACCTGGAATCCAACACTATTCCTCACCCTCATGAACACACTTGCCCTAACTTTCACACTCACACAGCAATTGTCAGGTGCTTGAACTCCATCCATATAGGTAATGCCTAACCTAACCCTAATTCTAAACCTGTCGCAGAAACCTCACCTCTTACGCTAACTTTAAAGGCTAAACCCAAGCCTAACCCTAACCCCTAACTCCAACCTCTAACCCTAAACCTAACGCCTCACCCAAACATGAACCCCTACAGTGTCCCTTACTTTTTAACCCTATCCCTCACCCAGGCGAACAGCCACCCCAACCATGAACCTACCAATAACCTAGGTGTATGCATTCTGACACCACTCCCTATCAGAAACCTAAAATTTACAGGAACACTAACCTTCAAACCCACACGGCAGTACACAGGAAGGGAAATCCTGGCACGATCCCTAAACCTAAGCCTAATGCAAAGCCCTAATGCTCAATCTAACACTACTCATCAGAGCTACACTGCAATGCTGTGGTATTTGGGATTCAACACTATTCCTCACCCTAAGAAAAATCCTGGCTCTAAGTGCCATACTCATACGCCAATAATAACCTATTTCAGTTCCCTCCATATCCTTATCCAAAAAACTAATCCTGACCCAAAACCAATCCATTAATCCCATGGTCCAATAATGAGGTGCTTGAAATACACTATCCCTAAGCCTAGCACCAAATCTAATCACGATACTACCTACGATACCCACACTGCAACATACAGCTAGTTCAAATCCAAGACTAAGACTTACCCCCAACTTTAACCCGAACCCTAAACCTACCCTAACCCTAACCTAGGTACCTGCAATCCCACACCACTGCTACCTATAATCCTGCACTTCACGCTAACATGAAACCTTCAACCCACACTCCAGTACACTGGAAGTGAAATTCTGACACTATTCCTAACGCTAGGCCTAAGCCTAAACCTAAAACTAACACAGTGAAGCTAACACTACCCATCAGAAGATACCCCTCTTCCAACAAACAGAGCCCTGCCCCAGGCTTACCCCTAGTCCAACAGAGACTTCCAGCCACACTCCAGATACCTGGCTCAGTCATATAACCTCACCCAAGCCAATTTACCTGTGATTCTTCATTCCACTCTCTTTGTACAGCAACAGAAAAATATATACACGGACTCAGTCCTGTGGCTACAACCACAGGCTTCCTCAGCTTGACTTCCAGGGATCCCTATGGATGTTCCCCTCCCAAATTCAAACTCACACTATCAGGCAGGATCCCCAAACATTGAAAACAATTCTAAAACCTGGAGACTGGTGCTCAAACCTCACAGCAAAAATTATTATATTCTGCTTTCAATGTTTTTAGTAACAGGGATGAATGTGCTTCCTGGCAGCGTATTTCTGAGTTGCAGATGCTGGTCTCTACTGTGAGAAACCCTACAGAGTCAGCCACCCCAGTAACTAATAAAGGATCAAAAGCCCCCCACACTCAGGGGGCCCCTTCAGGGCAATATTTCAAATGCCACCAGAATGTTCACTGGACTAGGGAATGCCCACAGCCTGGGTTTCCCTCCAAGCTGTGTTCTTGGTGTGGGGGTCCACAATGGAAGTCCAGTTGTCCAACAGTAACAGCCACCCCTGCCGCTTCTCCAAGGGATGCCCAACCTGCTCCTTCCCAGACCTTCTTGGCCTGGCCACTGAGGAGTAACACCATCTAGAGGCCACAGCAGCCTCCTGGACCATTGTGGATGCTGAGCTCTGGGGAACTTATGGTGGAGGGTAAGTCCAACCCATTCATCCTCGTCACAGGGGCTACACACTCCACCTTGCCTTCCTTTTGAGGACCAACCTCCTTGGCCCCAATCACTACTGTGGGGAGCGATGGCAAATTCTCCAGACCTTTTAAGACGTTCCAGTTTGGTGTCAACTGGGCCAACACCTCTTCCCACACTCATTTGTAGTTATCCCCACCTGTCCCATTCCCCTTTTAGTATTATTTCTTCTTCTTCTTTTGGTACCCGGGATTGAACTTGGCACCTTGCACTTATGAGGCAGGCAGTGGAACCATGGAGCTAAATCCCTGGCCCATTCCCCTTTTAGGATGAGACATCTTAGCTAAGTTGTCAGCCATCACCAGCCGACACAGTGGGAAACCATGTGAAAGAAGAAAGACAGCAGCTCATGTCCCAGCCTCATGGCCTACCTGCTACAGTTGCAGGAAGCCTGAGTGCCTTCAACCACCACCTGTCCCAAGGAGCCAGACTCATTCTCTCCAGCTCCAAATTCTCATAGAAGCAGACTCCTCCCCTCCCCTTTAAAACTTTTGTTCTCACCTTCCTCATGCTACGTCCCCTTTTCCCAGACTCAGACCACTTGTGAGCTGTCACAGTGAACAAACTAGTCTCCCTACTTGCACAATACCTGCCATTGGTGGTCTCTCTGCTCTCCTTTCAACTCTGTCACAGTAATTATTTGGATCCCAGGGGTGAATCCAGATTTTGTGGAGCCTGAACCTCATGAAATTTCCAAAGTGACTTCTAATGATAAAACATGCAAAATTTATGCATACAAAAAGCGTAGGGCCCTAACCAGGACTTTAGAAAGGGCCTGTGCAAGTGAGGAGCCCTAGGGCTTAGGCTTCATTCAATTCATATTAAATTCACCTCAGCTGAGGCATTTGTACAAGCCTTTGTAATATTGGGGGAAGACTAATATTTCAAGTTAGAATCAGCCATAGGACTGAATCATAATGGTCATAAAATTACTGGTATCTTAACTTGGTAACCTCCCTTTGGAAAGAGATACAATAGGCTTCTATCTCACTATGGCAAATGTTAATCTAGTCTATTAGAAAGATTTGACACAAAACAAACGTGCCTGGCCCCAAACAGACACTTTGTGGATTGTGACCATTGTGTCAATCTTTTCTATTTTTTGGGGGTGGGAGATAGGGCCTCACTATGTTGTCCATGTTGGCCCCCAAAGTCCTGAGCTTAAGTGATCCTCCTGCTTCTACCTCCTGAGTAGCTGGAACTACAAGTACATGCCACACTTGGCTCACTGTGCAAAGCTATCAAAGCAACTGTGAATTAGCTTGAGAGGCACAGCTCCACCCAGGTCATATGATGTGCGTATTAATGGCAACACTAGTTACCTCTCATTTTCTTATCTCCATGAAGCAACTGCCTTTCTGTTAAGATAAACCTCAAAATCAGACATCACCACCCATTCCTACTCTGCCTCAAAAGCAAACCCTGTGTTCATTTTCCCAAGTGGGACAATCAGCAGATTGATGAGGGGAGAGAAAAGGTCACTGCAGTTGAGGATGCAGGTGAAGTTAACCAGCTCCAGGTGCATGCTTACCCTCCCTCCAGGAAGCTTAAACTGGATGAACCAGGATTTTGGACCCACAAGACAGGTGGACAGTCTTTCCCAACATCAGGTGTAGAGGAGAATTTTCACCTTGAGTCTAAAATCCCCTTCAGGCCATTAAACACCAGAATTTTTAATTGAAAGAGTATAAATCCCACACTTCTTATCAAAGGTAGCAGGAAGAAAAGCATATGGCTTAAGGCTAGAGCGATGGTGTTTTTGGTTTTGGTTTTGGTACCAGGGATCAAACTCAGGGCCTTGTGCTTTCGAGGCAGGCATCAGCACCACTGAGCTAAATCCACGGCCCAATGTATTTTTTAATCTATATTTTTCAAACTGTCACTCAACACAAACACTACCTATTGAACACAGATAATTCATAACTTCAGAAGTACATACTTTTCAAAAAATAACATTCTGAGTGGTTAGGGAGAGAAGTACCTGGTGGCAGGTTCAGGAATTCTTTCTATTTGAAGACACAGGCACTGAGAAAGCACCTGTACCTTTTGCTCCCTGGAGAACATTACATTAAACTTAGTTCTTTGAATCTCTCTGTTGTATACATTTGAATAGTTAGAATTCTGCATGTGAGAAGGAATCAGAGTTAAACTGACAATGGAATTTCAAGGAGTATTCACACATCAGAGAAGCATCTCTGAGCTCCTAGACATGCTAATTTGAGTATTACTTGTACCATACCTCCTATTGCCCATGCCAAAGATCAGTACCTTGGAATGCAAGTATGTTACCTAAAAGTTACAGAAGTCAAGCCAGACATGATGGCACATTCCTACAATTCCAGAATTCAAGAAGTTGAGGCAGGAGAAATGTGAGTTTGAGGCCAGCCTAGACTACACAGTGAGTGAGTATATGGCCAGCCTGGACTACAGAGCAATATCCTGTCACTAAAAAAAGTTATATACAAGTCTCTTGGCCTCATTACCTTAGTTTCCTCAATTTAAAATAATGATGGAGTCTTAAGACATACTTTTCAGAGTTCATATGGGACTTGGACCCAGCTAACCAATAACTGTATGAAGTTAACACATAGATTTTGTTTTTAGGCAGGTTTTCTTTTCACGCGTTTATCATTTATTTCCTTACACTTGGTGCAAAAACTGCATCCCATGCCATGCTTGAAATGTTCCAAAGCTCAGTTCTGTGAGTAAATTGCAATGAAGATTTCTACAAGAAAAGACATAAACCAAAGAAAGATACTCTTTCTGAACATTGATCACTTGACAGTGATTTCCATTTACAGAGTACACGATGAAACAAAACGTCAATATTTTTCCATATGCTAAAGAAATCTCACTGGAAGATGCTCCATATTTACACATGTGATGGCATTAAGTACAAAACAGCGAATGTTTAGTAAATACGCGCTGAGTGATCTTTATTTCTCTAGGACAGGATTTCACAACTTCAGCGCTATTGACACTTTGAGCTGGACGGTTCTTTGCTATGGGTTCTGACTGAACATTGTGGGGTGGTTAGCAGAATCTCTGGTCTCTGCCCACGCGATGCCAATGGCAACATCCACAGCTGCCACATGTCACCTGCGTGCAAAGTCACAGCGACCGAGAATCACTGTTCTGGAATGATTCTCTGTGACCTGTGCGATAATCCTCACACTGATCTTTGGTAGAGGTTGAAAGGATTTCAAAATGAATAGCAAAGAGGTTTTTAAAACTGCAAATATAATGAAGTTATATTTGTAACTTACATGAATTTCAAAAAAGGTAGTGCTTCAAATGTACCTCTTTCAATAGACTGTATTTTATTGCAGGATAAATCTCTAGGAAAAGAAAAAGGGAAATATTGGCTTGAATAGCTATTAAATACCTCATTAGTATGAATAAATACTAAACTTTAAAATGGATAATACTGAAAACATATTTTTTGTCTAAATCTTCAGACTCTTACCGAACATTTTGGACCCCATACCCTATCTATACTTCCTCTAAGATTCTCAGCCTCATGATCTCCATAAATGAAATATACAACTATAGATCCTTTTGGTTTGTTGCTTTTTTATTCTGCCTTAGGAAGGTAGTCCAGTCTGGCCTGGAACTTGCTATGTAGCTCAGGCTGGCCCCAAGCTCACCATGCTCTTGTCTCAGTCTCCCATGTGCTAAGATTGCAAGTGTGCACCACTCCATTTCTTTTTAATACAGTTATTTGTACATCCTATCCCTTCCAAGCATACACTGTTTGAAAGCATGAACCTGCTTTCACATGGTATGCACTGTATACCATGTGTGAGAGTGACATAGATATTTGAGCAAACTCAAACTATTTATAAACTAAATAGCTGGGAATGAATAGAACCAAAGTAACTATTTTAGAATAAATATAGTGTATCACCTCACGGCTGGCTGCTCTCCTTCAGCTCTGCCACACTTGTCACCCAGTCAGTATAAGCTGTGTTAAGGTTCGAGCTCACAGGTTTGTGTCCCATAGGAGCCCACTAGTCCCCAGAGGGCAGAAACTTTGTCTTCATCGTTGTGCCTCCAGTACCACCCACAGTGCTGGGATATGCTTTTTGGGATATTTTGTGCAGCTTGCCATTTTTAAGTGAAGGAGAATATATACGTGATACTGTGAAATAATTAGGCTATGGAGTACTTCACAGTACAAATATGAAAGCTGTGCTCCACTGAACATCTAATTTGTTTTTCTCCAAACCGTTTGTAAGGTTTGGGAGCCCAGATGAAAAAGGTACTCAAGAAGGTCAGTAACAAAGTGGTCATTCCCTTAAGGCAGTGATAGCAAACCTTTTAGAGACCAGTGCCCAAACTGCAAACCAAAACCTACTTATTTTATGTAACTCAAAGTGCCAACACTGTAATTAAACTTCAGTATTGAGGTTTTAGCTTCGAAAAAAAACACCTTATTCATTAACATCTTTTGTCCTAAAACAACAAGCATGCCATAAGTTTGCCACCACTGCCTTGAGACCTAAGGTTTCCTAATCCAAAAGACTATTTTTAGGCCATATTATGTAGGTTCTTTTTGCCCATTTTCTTGAAGCCTTCTACATTCAAAATAATGCTGTGTTTGTTAAAATATCACTAATAGCTAAATTAGGGATGATGAAATTCTCACTTCTGGACTGCCTAGACAAAAATAAAAATCAAGCTTTCATACCAAAGAAAAGAGTATCTTCTTTTCTCTAAACAGATAAAAATACTATGGAAGTACATCCTCCTTGGTGACAAGGCTGCAGAGATTTTTAAATACCATTTTAAATACCTATTTTAATGTGGGGATAACAATTTCTGCCTTGAAATACTGGCAGTCTATTCTTGTGGTAGCTTACCCATCTGGCTAATATTATTAAAATTTACCAGCTTAGTTAACTATGTAATACTTAAGTATTCATTTCACTCAGATTAAATTGTCCAAGCCCTCTGGATTACTGGCATTCAAATGAACATAGGTGGCCTACACAGTATTTTGTTCTCCTTTAGGCACTACTCAAAAGTTTAATTCTTTGGTTCTAATTCAGCTTTTGCAAACCCTGTTTGTAAATGCTAGATAGTAAATTAATTGTAGACTTTCCAGATCATACACAGTCTCTGTTGTATACTTTTGGGTTTTTTTTTTTCTTTGACAGCACTTAAAAATGGAAAAATCATAATTCACTTAGGAGCTGAATAAAAACAAACTGTGTATTGATTTGATCCATGGGCCACAGGGTAAATATAAATAGAAACAGATGGCACATAAACACTTATAAAATAAGGTTCATATTAGCATCAGTAACTCAAGTCTTATTACCACTTTTCCTCTGTAAGTGGAGATTTTTTCCTATTTGTATCTTGTCTATACAATTCAAAAAACTGAAAATGTATATGGGATATTTGATGTTAGATAGACTGAGATCTACACAGATTTAAATAGTTGCAGAATTTTATTGCTAGAAGAGATGTTGGCAAACATCTAATTTGAAATCCCTGCTCATTTTATAGATAACATATAACCCATGAATGAATATGATTAACTAACTTACAAATACTGGAGGGACAGCAGGCCTTCAAAGGAATCCTTATGTACTTCAGCGATGTAATTTTCACTGAGATTTCTGGAAGATGAAAAGGTTATTTTCTGAATCAAACTTCATAAAAAACATGAAGAATATCCAGTGGTAAAAAAGTTCAAGGAAATGAACACTCCTAGATTCAGCTGTCTGGAGTGTGATGGCACAATATTTTTTCAGAGCAATTAAGTCGCATATCTAATAAACAGTCTTCATAAAGAAAAAAATGTCAGATAATGAAAAGATGGAAATAAGTGGTTGTAGATGGGGAGGGGAGGAGGGGGTGAAGGGAGGGCAGGGATAAGGGGAAAAAATGAGAACCGAGACTTGTCATGTAGAGGTACAAGATCCCAACGATGAATGTAACTGTACTGTATCCCTAAAATGTACCAATAAACTCAATGAAAGCTGAAAAAAAATGTTAAAAAATAAAAAAATAATAAAACAGTCTTCAGGCCAACAATCCCTTTTCTAGGTCTCTGTTCTGCAGGAATACTTGCCCGTGTTCACAAAGAAGCATGTAAAAGAATGTTCATTATATGATACAGGTAACAAGAAAACTGGAGCGATCACACCCCAAATAAAAGATCCAACCAAAAACTGGGCAAATACAATGAACAGGCACTTCTCAGAAGAGAAGTGCAAATAGCCAATAAGTACATGAAAAAATGTTCAACATCTCTGGCCATTACAGAAATGCAAATTAAAACAACACTGAGACTCCATCTTATTCTAGGAATACTGGTTATCATCAAGAAATCAAACAATCACAAATGCTATTAAGACTTCAGGGAAAAAATAAACTCTTCTACACTGTTGGTAGAAATGTAAACTGGTATGAGTTTACACTATGGAAATGAGTATGGAGATTTTACACTATGGAAATGAGTATGGAGATTCTTCAAAAAACTAAGACTAGAAATTCCGCTTGACCAGCTATTCCCCTTCTAAGTACCTTCCAAAAAGAGATAAAGGCACCACATTACAGGGATACATGCACACTCATGTTAATAGCAGCACAATTCATAACAGTTAACTCTTGGAAGGGGCCTCTATGTCCATCAATGGATATACTGACAAAGAAAATGTGGTATTTACACACAGTTGGAGTACTGCTCTTCCATAAAGAGAAATTTGAGTCATTTGTAGAAAAATGGATGCACCTTGAGATCATATGTTAAGTGAAATAAATCAGACACACAGCTTAAATATCTTATGATTTGGTGGGATTTTTTTGTTTTGTGTGTTTGTTTGTTTGTTTGGTACCAGGGATCGAACTTGGGACTTGGACTTGCACTTGCAAGGCAGGCAGCAGAGCCACTGAGCTAAATCCCCAGCCCTTCTTATGGTTTCTCTTGTATGAGAAACCCAAAGAATAAGCAAAGAGCAAAATAATAGATAGATAATAGGAAAAAGGAGATGGATCATTCTCAAAGAGGAAGAGGATCAAGAGATGAAAAGAGGGGGAAAGAGGGAAAGGAAAGGGGATGAAAAAATGAAAGTGAATGAAAATGCATAGTATTATGTACATGTACCCGCTCCCCATGCAGAATGTAATCACTATGTACTGCCATGTACTAATAAAAAATCAAAATTGGAAAAAAATCTAGATATACTCTAAACACCCATCAATAGGGAAATTATTAAATACACAATGACATATATACACTATGGAATATTATGCAGCAGTTTAAGTGAATAGGGTAACCCTCTATGTACAGGGAAGGAAAGAATCCTGATATATCAAAAGTGAAAGAATCAAGTTGCGGGATATTATACTTTGTGTTAAAAAAAAAGATTAGAGCCATACGCCAAAACTATTTTGCTGTATATAAATATGTATATAGGCAAATACATGGGGAAAAATATATATCAAACTCAGACTAGTGGTTACCTGATGGAACATTACAGCATATTAAAGGTCTTTACTATACCTGCTATTTCAAACCAAAACAAAAAAAGAACATAATAATAATGTTGTCCTTGTATAAAGAAACATAAATTTAAATTGTTTATTTCCAAGAAGGTCTATAAATTTTTCTTTTCTTTTTTGATTTATTTTTCAGTTCCAGAGCTGGGTCTTGAACCCAAGGCCTCACACATGATAGGCAAGTGTTCCATCACTGAGCTACACTCCCAATCCACATGAAGTTTAATTATTAACCATAAAATTTCAATCAACTGAGGTTGATCTGAGGTACAATGGGGAAACGCCTTTTCTCAGAAGTACTGACCTCAAAATTCTGGAGCAAGAAGGATCTTACAGTAAAGTTTCTGAATTCGTATTTGGAAAGAATATACTCATAATTTCTCAGCCCAACGGTATGTTTTCCATGCCCTTGCTTGAATACCATGAATAAAGTTTCCTTGGAAGTTTCTGTGAAGAAAGTTCACATCCTTGAATAAGTAGGAAAAAAATGAGAACAAGTAAAAGAATCCTGGTGATCTCCAGGGTACTTAAACACAGGTAAGATAGCAGCTTTTAAATTTCCAGAGCTGACAGCTTCCCAGTTTGCACAATAAAGAATGTGGATTAAAAAAAGAAGTTGGAGGAAGAGGAGGAGGAGGAGGAGAATGTGGAGCCATAGCACAAAAGATAAAGACTTTCCTCAGAAGCTGAACTTCCTGTCTGTCCAATTTCCTGGATAAATAATGCCAATCAATTACATTTGACGTATCTTTCCCAAAATCACTTGTGTTTCTCATCCCGGAAAGAATGAAATCAACCAATAACAAATGCTGGCAGGGTTGTGGGAACAAAGGAACCCTTCTCCATTGTTGGCCAGAGTGCAGACTGGTGCGGCCACTGTGGAAATCTATATGCAGATACCTCAAAAAACTAGCATTAGAAGTCCCATTTAACCCAGCTAGCCCTCTGCTGGGTATCTTCCCAAAAGAATTAAAAGAATCATACCACAGTGATATATGCTCACCCATGTTTACAGCAGCAGCTTGTAACAGCTAAAACTTGGAAACCGCCAAGTAGTATTGGAGTACTACTCAGCCATAAAGAACGAGAAACCAGAGACATTTACAGCTAAATGGATGCACATTGAAGCCATCTCTTAAGTGATATAAATAGGACACACGTGTAAATAACAAATCGTTTCTCTGGTATGAAAAACTAGAAGTGTCAACAAGGATCAAAATGTATAATTGATAATGTGAAACAGGAAGAAAAGGTTCAAAGGGGTAGGGAAAGTGGGAGGGGTAGGGGAAAAGAGAGAAAGGAAAAGAAAAAATATAATAAAAGGAAAAAATGGAAAAAAAGTATTTGTAAATAGGGAAGGGTGGAGGGGGTGAAGGGAGGGCAGGAGAATAGGGACAAAAGAACCAAGATCTGTCATGTAAAGGTACAAGATCCCAATGATGAATGTAACCATTGTATACCTAAAACGTACCAGTAAACTTAATGGGAAACAAATCACTTGTGTCTAAGCTGACTTCTTCTATAAATCAATAAGTAGATGATGAATAATTCAACAGAAAAGAAAAATGGGCCAAAGTGTATCATTAGCAAACAAGAATAAAGAAACCCTTTGCCAGGAACCACCAAAGCTTCCACCTAGCACCCTTTGTGGAAGCTTCTCCAGGCAGGGGAAGGATGAGGACAAGGAAAGCTTAGAGGAACTGATGTGCTGATGTGTAAAAATCACTTGGATTTGATGCATGGAAAAAAAGCAGGAAGCACTGCACAAAGACGAAACCATCACCTGAACAGGGGGAAAATGTAAAGGAGAGAAAGGCAGGACACACACCAGGCTGGTAACAGGGCGTATCTTCTGGGTGACAGGGTAAGGGAGACAGGGTGAACAAGGGTACAGGGTATGGAATTCACATTATTCCATATATACCTGCGACTCTCTTTGAAAAGAGAGATCTATCCACAAGTGGCACATGTTGAGAAGAAGCTATTAAGCTGGGCATGGTGACATACATCTGGAATCCCAGCACTCAGGAGGCTGAGGCAGGAGGATTGCCATGAGTTTGAGACCAGCCCGGCCCAGCCTGAACTACATAGGGCTCAGTTTCAATTCCGTGGAAATGCATTCCTTATCCCTCAGCGACAACTTTCCTATGTAGTTTGCGTGCACTTTTTCTCGGGGTGGGCAGGGAAGAAATCAATCTGCTCGCCCGCCTAGTGAACATTTCCACACAACCAGAGCATTCTCACTGCTTTATGCTCACCACTGAAAGTGTCTCAAACGGAACTCTCTCCCTCAAACTGGCTCTCCTTCCCGGCTGCGGTCACCGCCTGTGATACAACCACCACTGTCATCCCCATACAGGATGGAAACAGTGGGCCTCGTGTGATTTTGCGCTTCTCTGTCCACCCTACCCCCCGATGCTTCGCTCAATCACTCAGTCACGTAGTGCTCACAGGATTCTCTCTCCACGCTCATCACCACCACTCTCACTCTAACCCAGATCTCCTACAGCTTTCTAGGTGGTCTCCGAATCCCGCTGTCCCCTCTAGATCACACTACACATAGATTCTAACATCGTCCTCCTGTGTAATCATTTAGCTCTCCTGCTTGAAAACTTGCACTGGCTCTCTGTGTCCAGCTGTCTCACTTTCAAACCCCTGGCTTCCTCACCCAATGCTTTGCGGGCAGACTGACCTATCACATCCTGTCATTCCTGCTGCCATGCCTTGTCCGGGCTGAGCTTCCTGGGTTTCCTCTACCTGACAACTGCAGCCGCTCTAAGCACCCGGTAAGGTTCGCTCTGACCCGTGCAGCTCTCCCTAACCTTCACACCTTGTGATTCCAGATTCTGGAGAATCACAGCACCTAAGGTCTGCATCCACACCTAGTCCTTAACCACACACCAGCTCCCTTTAATGCTTTCGCCTCCCTTCTCTCCTATTATTTTCATGTTCAAGAAAGAATGTTATCCTTCTATAGCTCCCAATGTACTCAGCCCTACTGGGCTCGGCACACCCTGGGTGCTATATATAGAAAGCAAAGGACAGAGGTAAATTCTGTAGGTAATTCAGGGACTGCATAATAATAGCAGCTAACATTCACACATAGGTGCGGTGCTGATACAGGTATCACAGGTACTTACTCTTCTAAAGCTCAGAATCCTATGAAATGGTAAATATCATAATCCTCATTTCACAGATGAGGAAAGTGAGTCACAGACTAAATAACTTGCAAAAGGTTATAAAGCTGAGGGGGGGACAGGGAGGGAGAAAGAGAGAGATCTGGGTTCAAACTCAGGAGGTCTAATTTTTTTAGAGGTGGGTACTGTGGATGGAACCCAAGGCCCTGCATATATGAGACAAGCACTCAACCCTCAGGCAGAACTTCTTCTTGAACACACTTTGTTATATCATCACTAAGGAAATGAGTTGTACAAAGGGTGGAGCAAAGAGCAAGGTTAAGCAACGGTGTGGTAGTACTAAATTTAAAAAAATAAGGAGAAAACAAAATGGAGCACAATAATACAAAGGAGAATGGGACCAGAAAATTTTGGAAAGAAAAAAGTAAAAGCAGAACATTAGTCAACATGAACTAAGGAGATGTGGACAGCCCAGGAAGTCCTTGAAGAAAAGGCTGCCGTGTCAGGCAGAACGCAGAGTACAAATGAAGGAAGGTGATTCTTACAAGACTGTGAAGGTGTCATTGTAGGTGTCCGGCTCTAGTACAGGCACTTGGCGCAGCCTCTGCTTTGGGTGGAGACCAGTACACGACAGGGTCTCATTTTCGCAGGTACAGAGCTCACATATGCTGGTGGCTGTGGAGACCTTCTGCTCCTTTGGCGCAGGTAAAGCCTTTTCTGGGGTGTAATTTGCAGGATACTGATTTGCAGTAGGTTCCACACCCAAAGGCTGAAGTGCGACAGGAGTCAGGTTGGGCTGCTGAGCCTGCCCCTGGTCCTCATGGGCAAGCATCACCTCGGGCTGCTTCAGAGCAGGAGAAGCTTTCTGCAGGGCCACAGACTGTTCTGCCTCTTACTGACTTCAGAACTTACAGTAAGGCTCATATGCAGTGGTGGTGCCGTGTCACTGGGTGATGCTGGAGGCTGAGCTGAGTCCTGACCTGATGGTGCTGGATTTGCCATCACACGTGGTTCTGTAGGTTGAGCTACAGCCTCCACAGATGGCTCTGGAGGCTGAGATGGGGTCTTCTGCAAAGTCGGAGAAAGGTGAACCCCTGAGGTAGGTAGAAAAGTTCGGGAATATTTCAGGTTCAAAGGTGGAATCGTACCAGAATTCAGGTTTGGCCACTGAGCCTGCCCCAGGTCTGGATGTTTCAGTGTCACATCCTGCAGGGCCACAGAACGGTCAGCCTCTGTGGTCGGCTCAGGGCTGATGGTAAAGCCCATATTCAGTGGTGATACTGAGACACTGGGTGATGCTGGAGGCTGAGCTGAGTCCTGACCTGATGGTGCTGGGTTTGCCATCTCATGTGGTTCTGTAGGTCCAGCTATGGGCTCCATAGATGGTTCCGGAGGCTGAGATGGGGTCTCCTACAAAGTTGGGGAAAATTGGACCCATGAAGTAGGTAGAAAAGTTCTGGAATATTTAAGGTTCAATGGTGGAATCATGCCTGGATTCAGGTTGGGCCGCTGAGCCTGCCCCAGGTCTGGATGTGCAAGTCTCACCTCAGGGTGTTTCAGAGGAGAAACGATAGCCTCCTGCAGGCCCACAGAATGGACAGGCTCTGTGGTGAGTTCAGGGCTGATGGTAATGCTCATATCCAGAGATCGGATTGTGCCACTGTTCACAGTTGGTTGCTGATCTGTATCCGTACTTGGGTCTACGTTATAATCCTGCAAGATTTGTTTCTGCTGGTTAGGTTTTGCCAATTGATAAAAGAGTTCCAGAGACCTCCTCAGCAAGTTGCCAGTGCTAAGCTGGATCCTTCTTCAGGTTCAGGGGGGAAACAAACTGTGGTGCTGTCCAATTCTTACTCAGTGGAGGTGGAACAAGTAAAAGTGACTGGTGGTCTGTAGCCTGCTCTAGAGCAGATGTCTCAGTCTTCCTTTTGAGTGGAGGAGGCAAAGCTACAGCTTGGTTCTGATCCCCACCTGAAACTGCCTCTGACAGCCTCTCTTGTCCGGCAAGCTGGTCGTGCAGACCCTGATATCGAGCAGTAAACTCATCTGGCCACAGCTCTCCCGTCGACTCTTGATGTGGAAGCAACATTTTTGTAGGCACAGAGGAACCAAGATACTCGAATCCCTCCAGCTCCGCAGGGGCAGTAAGAGCATGCAGCGATTCCTTTTGGAGATGAGACTTGAAGGGAAAAAACAAAACATTCGGCCCCAGGTGCTCAAGAGTTCAGGTGTTCTGGGTATTGGGACCACTATGGAAGTGGAGCCATTAGCCCTAGTAGCCACAACTGTGGCCAAACAAAGAGCCCTGTAACCCAGAAGTGAAGTGCAAACATATCAATACAAGGCTTGATCACCAGGACCTAGGTCAGTAAGGTTACAGTGAAACACCTGCTGGGATCTTTCTGGTAGCCACTTGATAACCTTGTACTTTCCACCCTGCCCCACCCTTTGTGACATCACTGTTTAAGAAACCTTTACGAGGTTCTGGCCCACATGGGCTGAAGTGGTCCGAAGAAGCCTTTTGTTACAGGACCAGGGCCAACTCCTTGCCCCAGCAGAGGTGATAGTGGCTTCCTCCAGGGCCATCTCCCTGTATGGCAGCAGGATATACGCCTCAGACCTACAAAGTCTAAGCATGCAAAGCCCTTTGGGTGGGGCCTGGCACAGCTTCCCATTTAACTCACAGGGCTGGGCCTTGGGATACTCAGAAGTAGTAACCCAGTCTGAGCTCTTCCTGCTCCAAGCTACAACCCTACAGAAATTCTCCCTCCTCCTGGGTATACAGCTTCCAAGAAAAGCACCTGACCTACAATGTGGGAGACTGCCTGCAAGACAGCTGGCTGCTTGCACTGCAGTTCCCTGAGCGAAGGAGTTGCTATGTTGTAAGTTCTGATTGGCCGTGATTGGCTGCCATCTTATGGCATTATTTACAATAGCCATTTTGTAGAGCTGAGTTTCGCTTTCCAGAAAAAACACCTGTTTCTTGTAAATCATGTGTACTCTGTGGAGCCATAATTGTGGCCTTGTATGGTCATCCTTGAGATTGTTTTTCGTCCTTGATATTGTTTTTACTTTCATACTATCACCTGATATAAAAATAAGAGCCATCTTGCAATAAAGGTGAAAGGAAGAAGAACCCTGTTTGAACCTGAGCATGACTCAATGTGCTTACTCTCGGTGAATCCTCTCAGGTTTGGGGCCTGCTGGCAGGACCCCGACGTCGTGGCTCGCGACATACAAAATGAGGACCAGTTAGGGTGGCAGGCAGCAGAATAGGCAATATGGTGATTCATTCCCCATTGTTGCCATTTGTTCTAAACTCTCAGTATCAGGTTCCATGTTGGAGAACTCATTCCCCTCTGTTAGGCTGGTGCTGCGTATACTCCGTGATGATGCCACAATTTCTGCAGAAGGGTTTTGCAGTTGGGCAACTGCAGCTAAGAGCAAGGGTTTGAATCCGAGTAGCCCGTTCTTCACATCAGTAGGACAGAACTCTCCCCATCCCACCATGGCTCAGCAGTCATTCATCTAGCTGTGACAAGGCCATTTTTCACAGCAAACGTGGATTAGACATTTAGCATGTTAAAGTCTGCAGGCTAAATAATTTTTTTGAAACACTACTGTAACCTATCTTCACAGTCCTCCTTCATCTGTTTTACTACTCGTGTCTTCCTGGCACAGCCGTAGCTTGTGAAGTTCAAGAAGGCACTTCATTCATCCTCCTATCCCTCCTGCCTTGTATGACGCTGGGCACACTGTAATGGTTTTAAAATGGAATTAGTTGCAAAAGTCACCTCGTGTAGGGGTAGATTTGGTGTTAAAATCAGATTTCTGAAATCAGTGATGACTTCCTCTGTCTACATTGTAAGGAAGTTTGAAGCTTCTTGGGTATTAAACTAAAACCATTTGTTTTAAATCATTCTTTTACCTGGAAAAAAATTCCGATACTTTTCCAGAACATAACCACATTTTCCACCCTTTCAAAACAAACACTTTTACTATTTTTAATCAAAAATCCCCAAATTAAGTCACTGGCATGAAACACCTTGTTTGCCTCCTTCATTTACACATTCTAAATGTTGTAAATAATGATAGTTTTCTTTTAGAAATTACTTTGGAAAACTAATCCCTGGTTAAAAGTTTCATCCCAGCTCATGGTGTGAGAGAGACAGTCCAAACCTACACGGGCACAGTTACTACATGTGAGTCCAGAGGCTTCCATGGAGAAATGCACCAGTGCAGTGGAGCAGCAGACACTGTGGGCTCCAGTGGCTGGTGAGTGATTCCAGTTCAGATGTCCCCAATAGACTGACCAGTCACCATTTTGGAAAGGGGCCAGCTGAGCCCAGGCCTCAGAGCAGCCACAGGTTGGTTCCATCTAGCGGCTGTGAGTGTCAGGGTGAGGGCATCGCCTTGGGAGACAGCCAGCTAGGGTCAGGGAGACATGAGTTCAAGCCAGCAGGAGGCACCAAGAGTGTTGCGGGCTGAACAACTTAGGGTCCAGCCTCACAGCAGACTCCGGAATCAGCCTGAATTTCAGTGGAGTTGAAAGCACAAGCTGGCTGAGATTATTCACTACCCCGCTGCAGTTCTGCAGGTTTGTTGGGATCAATCTGAGCTCTGCTGCCCCTCTTGTCTACCCATGACAGCAGAGACGTGCCCGATAGTGGACTTTTTTCTTTCCTTCTTTTTTTTCAGACAGGGTCTCACTATGCAGTCAGGCTGGCCATGAACTCACTATGTAGCTGAAGCTAGCCTCAAAATCACAGTGATCCTCCTGCCTCAGGCTCTAGAGTGCTGGATTACAGGTGTGCCCCCCCAGCACTTGGCTTTGTTTTTTTATTATTTGTTCTTGTTTTTATAGGAGAATGACAGTTGTTTCTAGTTTTTTGTTGTTTTGTTCTGTTCTTTTCTCTTCCTTCTTTTTCTCCTTCACCAGGTTGCCAAAGCTTATGTAATCTTCTTTGTCCTCCCGCCTTGCTTTTAATCTCTTTCTCCTCTTCTCACTCTCTGTATTTCCCTTTTACCCCTTTCAAATTCTCTCACCAAGGATACAATTGCTCTATTGAGGGAATATTTACTCTATATATATATATATAACTTCCTGGGTTTTTTAAAAAATATTTTTATTTTAATGTAATACAAGCAGATATCAATAAATATAAAAGCAATCTATGAAAATAAAACTTCATAATAAAAGAATTAGAGAACAATGGTAAATACACTGTATATCATAATCTTAAAAGAATATATTTTCAATTGCAAATCTATCTCTCATCTAAGAAAACTATACCTATTTTGAAAAAACATTTTAATTATTAACAAAGTATCTGACACTCAGTATTATTTTGAGCAATTTCTTCCTCTTTCACAATCTCTTACACATTTTGATCCTTATTTATACTTTGTTTCTCACACCTGACAATGTGATATCTATGCATATGTGTTTGATTTATTTCATTTAAGAGTATCAAGGTGCATCCATTTACCAAGAAATGTCTCAATTTTATCCTCTTTATGGCTGAACAGTACTCTATTACATTAAAAAACACATTGTTTTTATCCATTCATTGGTTGATGGGCTTTTGAGTTGTTTCCGAGATTTAGCTATTACAAACTGTGCTACTATAAACATGGGTGCATATATATCACCACGGTATGATGCTTTTAATTTTGGGGGGAAGATACCCAGAAGGGAAATAGCTGGGTCAAATCTCTAATCCTTTTTAGGAATCTCCACATTGATTTCCAATGTTTGCACAAGTCCACACTCCCATCAACAGTGAAAAAGGTTGTTCATTTTTCCCTATAGCCCACCAGCATTTGTTGTTTGTTGATGTCTTGATAATAGCCACTCTATCTGGAGTGAGATGGAATCTCAGTGTTTGAATTTGCATCTCTCAAATAACCAGTGATGTTGAAGTTTTTTAATGTATTTATTTGCCCTTTGTACTTCTTCATCTGAGAAGTGTCTGTTCATTTCAGAAGTATTCATCTCAGATGCCCATTTTTTTATTTTGGTTAGCTTTAGATTTTGTCAGATGACTACAAATCTTATTTGTATGGTTAGAGGTAGTAAATTAATAGTTAACCACAGTTTGTCATTTTTTAGGTTGTGCTTGCTGCTATTGTTATTTAAGGATTGTACTACTTTGGCCAAGCTGATAGAGTGGTTTTAATCAGTTTTCTTCCCTATATGCCAAGACCGAGATTGCCTGAGGATCACAAACAATACTATAGCCCAGTACCAAAGAACCAGGAGCTAGGCCAAATGAGCAACAACTTCTTCTCCCTAATAAACTGAAGAGGTAGGATCTTCTGACAGACTCAACAGCCAAAAGCCAGCTGCACCAAGAATCCATCTCTGAAAAGTAATCATTTCTTAATGAGTTCTCAATACTAGCTACGGTAGACTGCCCTACTGATTATGCTCAAAACAGACTGTAAGCAGTGCAAGCTATAATTAACCACCCAGTTGGCTTGTTTGAAAAAGCGAATCTGACCAAAGCCTACGTGACTCATAGGGACACGGCAGTGGTACACAGATTACAAATTCTCCCTGCACCAAGGGCCCTAGCAGAGACCATAGAAACAGCCCATGAAGCTGTGGGGCTCTGATATGACATAACACGGGACAGCCAAAGTCAGAGTAACTTTTACCCAAATTCTGTTCCCAGAAATGAAACCTTCTTCACTGTAAAGACAGGTTAATCATTAACCACAACCTATATCTGGCCTGTTTGGTTCCTAACACAAGAATGCTTTGTCCCTTCTTGCCTTCTTGCAAGGCAAGCCTTACTGGCATCAGCAACTTCTCTGGAGCAACCACACTAGCCCCCTCCACTCAACCTAATAATGATTGTGTCACCAATCAATACCAGTGGTTCTGGCTGTTTGCAGGGGAGGGGGGTGTCTCTACTTGCTCAGCACTGACCGTCCAGATCCCTGTTTCACTCGGATTCTGTCTCTATGAGCATTTCTTCTCACCTTGTGTCACAGCACTGAGCAGGAGATTGGCATCTTCTGCAGAGGTCCTTTGTAACTAGCAATAAAGCTACCTGCCATAAGCAATTTATAAGCATCAATGAAGAAACTAAAATTTAAAAATATATAGAAGGTAAGAGGACACAGAAGCAAGATGTAACCCCAGACTTCTAGTTTGCCCAAGTCAAATCCAGGGGGCAGTGAGGTAGAACAATTATAAAACCACCCACTTGAACTCTCTGAAATAGTAATACAGAAATAACAACACAGATGAATGAGGCCCTAGAAAAAAATCAAAATACCAATAGAATACCTCATAAAATTAGAGAAAGCAATCCTAAAATTCATTTTGAACAGAAGAGACCTAGAATAGCAAAAGCAATTCTGGACAACAATAGCAAGGCAGGGGACATCACATCTCTGACTTGGAATTATACTACAAAGCTACTGTGATAAAAACAGCATGGTACCAGCAAAAAAAAAAAAAGACCTGAGGATCAACAGAACAGATTAGAAGAAGCACAAACAACTCCAAACATACTCAGCCACCTTATCTTTGACAAAGGGGCCAAACTCCTTCACTGGAAGAAAGAGAGCTCTTTAATAAATGGTGCTGGAAAAACTGGCTTTCCTCATGCCAAAGATTAAAACTTCACCCATATCTTTCACCATACACTAAACTCAAATAAAAATGGATCAGAGATCTAAAAAGTAAAACAGAAATAGTAAATCTGCTGGAAGATAGAATAGGTAAAACTCTCAAAGATACTGGTGTAGGCAGACTTTATGAACAAAACCCCAATTGCATAAGAAATATCACAA